TACACTTCCTGACACACCCCAACTCCAATCAGAACCATCTTATGACCGTGACACATCTTCTCAGTCGAATCAAAGGTCGAAATTAACGTCAAACGTTCAACAAATAGGTAAAAACAAAGGCAAACCTAAGCCAGATGCCTTGAAGAAACAAAGTGGCAGAGCCCCAAAAGGGGCAGATGATAAAATCAAATTGTTTAACAAATACGGATCACTTGAGGACATGGACGTGTCCGAAAACGTCCATTCTAGGGCACATAGCTTGTCGCCCTCGAAAACGGTGCGGGGTAGATCCCCAATTAATCCGCCTAAAAGATAGGTCTCTCTAAACATATCGTGCAGTGGAACTGTCGAGGACTACGGACAAATTTTAATGAAATACAGCTCATGATCCAGGATTTAACATCATCAGCGTTCTGTCTGCAAGAGACGTATCTGAAACGGACAGAAAATTTTAGCTTACGTCAGTTTGAAGCCTATCATTATTTTTCCCCTCTGGGTGATAGAGCGACTGGAGGTTCAACTATCCTTATACGGCAGGATATTATTCACAGTCCTGTTACACTTCACACTAATCTCCAAGCTGTTGCAGTGCGACTTACTCTGGGTATAGCATTTACATTATGCTCTCTGTATATTCCGCCTTCATCGGCACTTCAACAGACTGATCTTCAATCACTCTATGATCAACTCCCAAAACCATGTGTTATTATGGGTGACCTAAACGGTCACAACCCACTCTGGGGCAGTACTAACACTAATACTAAAGGCAAAATAATTGAAGATTTCATTTCCAATAATGACCTGTGCATATTTAATGATGATTCAAGCACCTATCTGCATCCTGCAACTGGCACTTATTCCTCTCTGGATTTGTCTCTTGCAGATTCTAACCTCCTGAATGAATTTGATTGGTCTGTTCATAATGACCTTTGTGGAAGTGACCACTTCCCAACTATCCTTTCAGAAATAACTCCATCTGATTCTCCTTCGTACACAAGATGGAACTTTTCGAAAGCTAACTGGTCTTCATTTCAAACTAACTGTAAATCGAAACTGCGACCTGATTGTTTTAGTGATATAACTGATCCCATTCAAACCTTTTCTGATGTTTTAAATGAAATAGCTGATGAGTGTATACCCAAGTCCTCAACGACTCCACATGTACGAAAACCATGGTTTAATATAGATTGTAGACAAGCCATAAAAGCGAGGAAAAAGGCAGAGCGTTATTTCCGCCATCATCCAACTGTCCATAACTTAAATAAATTTAAAATACACAATGCAAAGGCGCGTCGTACCTTTAAACAAAACAAACGACAATCTTGGAGAAATTATGTCTCCAAAATTAATTCGCGCACGCCAATGTCTAAGGTTTGGAACATGGTTCAGCGAATAAAAGGCAAAGGTTCAAAATCAGCTGTACATCATCTTAAAGATGCTGATAACTTGATAACTGATAAATCTGACATTGCAAATAAAATTGGCGAAACTCTTGCCAAAAATTCATCATTGGCAAATTATGTCCCTGAGTTTCAGAGATATCAGAAACAACAGGAAAAGACTAAGCTTAATTTCGAATCAAATAACGGTGAAGATTATAATGAAGTGTTTTCATTACATGAGCTACATACTGCTCTTGAGCAAGCTCATGACACTGCAGCGGGTGATGATAATATACATTACCAGCTATTGAAACACTTACCTGAACCATGTCTGATGACACTTTTAGATATATTTGACAAAATATGGACGTCTGGGGAATTTCCTCCTTCATGGCGTAATGCCATTGTAGTCCCAATACCAAAACCTGGTAAGGATCATACAGATCCGTCAAATTACAGACCGATCTCTCTAACTAGCTGTGTTTGTAAAACCATGGAACGTATGGTGAATAATAGATTAACTTGGTATCTTGAAACCAGTAACCTTATAACCAATATTCAATGTGGTTTCAGGAAAAATCGTAGTACCATTGATCATTTGGTACGCTTGGAATCCTTTGTTAAGAATGCTATAGTAAGTAAACAACATGCTGTATCAATTTTCTTTGATCTTGAGAAAGCTTATGATACGACCTGGAAGCATGGCATTTTGAAGGATTTACATGACTTTGGTTTGAGAGGTCGTTTGCCTCTTTTTATATCAAAGTTTTTAAAAGACAGGCAATTTCAAGTCCGAGTGGGTTCAACCCTGTCTGATCATTACAATCAGGATCAGGGTGTCCCTCAAGGCAGTATTTTGTCTGTCACTTTATTTAGTATCAAGATTAACAGTTTATCCAAGGTTTTAAACGATTCCATTGATGGATCACTTTTTGTGGATGATTTTAATATTTCTTGTCGTGGTAAAAATATGCATACTATTGAACGGCAATTGCAGATGTGTTTAAATAAAATAAATAAATGGTGTCTTGAAAACGGTTTTAAATTTTCCAAATCCAAAACTAATTGTCTACACTTTTGTAGAAAATATAAACCGCATAAAGATCCAGAACTATCTTTAAATGGCACTCCCATCAAAGTTGTTAAGGAGGCCAAATTCTTGGGTCTAATTTTCGACTCCCATTTAACTTTTTTGCCACATATTAAATCACTTAAAGCCAAATGCCTGAAGGCACTCGATTTGTTAAAAGTTGTTTCCAACTCAAAGTGGGGAGGGGATCAAACTACGCTCCTTCACTTATACCGATCATTGGTACGATCTAAACTTGATTATGGTTACCCAGCCACGTTGGCATTTCTGGCAACACCATGGCCGATCTTGCTGCTAAGGCAGCACTCAACAAATCTGTGACACCACTTCTTATTCCTTACTCTGATTACAAAGCCAGCATTAGAGCATACATCCGCGATCTAATGCAGAAGAAGTGGGACACCCAAGTAGGTATTAATAAATTACATGCAATAAAACCCTACATTGGTTACACCTACTTGGGTTGTCAGTCCAGATTTGAAGATGTCATTATGCGACGATGTCGCATTGGCCATACTAGATATACTCATGAATATTTATTGAAAGGCGAAGATCCTCCGTTTTGTATCCCTTGTGATGAAAGGATCACAGTCAAGCATGTCTTGCTTGACTGCATTGAATATTCCATCACAAGGGATAAGTATTTTAATGTCAAAACATTGAAGGATCTTTTAATAATGTTAGTTCTCATTTAGTTATTGCCTTTTTAAAAGAATTAGATTTGTTAAGTGATTTGTAAATGGATATATATTTTATTATTGGTAGTTTGAATTAGTAACTGAGATTGTTAGTGGCTGTACCCTCGAAGGGGGTTGAAGTAGTGTAAAATTATTGTCCTCCTGAGAGGGTACGTAAGTCCTAAAACTTTCAAAGTTAACTGTTTGCTTACCCGATTTTTAATCGTAGTATATTTGTTCATTTAAATTTTGGCTAAACTTGTCCTACAATCGCCAGCTGCTGACGGGATGGTGTAAATCCAATTAGGATCCATGCAGGTAGCGGAAGTAATGTAAGTCCCCATGGTTCCTAGTATGGTGATCTACCTTCAGTTGTTGGCGATCTATAGCCCATTTTTAAATTGTGTTGTCCCCTATAGTTAATATGTTTTAGATTCAATTACTAGTTTTACATATATATCTGTGATACTCTAGTTGCTTTACTGTCCTTCGATGACAGGTTTTATAATATATACATATTCCATGACAATGTAAAATGTTCTCGTCACGATATGGCTGAAATATTGCCGATGTGACGTTAAATATTAACTCACTCACTCACTCACAGACATATATACAATTGGTTCTGGGTTTGGAAAATTTAAAACCATTTGTGAATTTTATTGAAACACACTTAACTGCCTATCTATTGCATGCATAATATTACCACGACAAGAGACACTAAAATCATTCACGAAAAGTGATCCATCTACTGAATCAGTTAAAACCTTTGAAAGACTATTTTTGATACTAAATAAAGTCACACAATACTGCCTTGTGGGGAGCCCTGATCCCGATTGTATTTATCAGACAGGGTTGTATTCATTCACACTTGAAATTGACTGTATGTCAGGGCTGTGATATAAAATGAAGTAAACGATCCCTCAAACCCAAATCATGTAAATCCTTTAAAATGATGTTCTTCCAGGTAGTGTCGTAGGAATCTATCTCAAACCCAAAGAATATTGATACTGCATGTTGTCTAGTTACTATAGCATTTTTAACAAAGGATACTAATCGCACCAAACGACCAATGGTACTTTGATTTTTCCTGATATCACATTGAATATTTGATACAAGGTTATTGGTTCAAAGGTACAAAATTAATGAAGTATTTGCCATTCGTTCCTTGGTTTTACAGACACAGATGGTTAGAGAAATGGGTCTGTCGGTGGATCTGAATGGTCCCGGCCAGGTTTTGTGGTGTGGAGACTAAATTGGCATACCCCATGAAGGAGGAACATTTCCAGATGTCCATATTTGATCATATATACCTAAATGTATCTCCAGACATGATTCAGGCAAATGTTTCAGTAGCTGTTAATGGATATTATCATCACCTGCACCAGTGTCGTAAACCTGCTCAAGAGTTGTACGTAGCTCATGCAATGAAAACATTGTAGTCTTCGCCGTTAATTGAACCAAATTTAACACTTTCATCCTTTCCTGTTGTTTCTCATATTGCTGAATCTCGGGCATAATTTGACGATAAAGACTTTTTGCCATGAGTTTTGCCAATTTTATTTGCCATTCTAGATTTGTCAGTTATTAAATTACCACTGTCTTTAAGATGCTCAAAAGCTGAGTTTGAACCGTTGCCTTTTATTCTCTGAACCATGTTCCACAACTTAGACATGTATGTGCGCAAATTAATTTTTAAAGATTAGTATTTAGATGAACACCACGATGAGTGATGCTCTGTCTTACTAATACAGTAGAATCTTCAGTCGCTTTATCCCCTGTAGGAGAAATTGAATGACGAAGTACTGCCTTAAATCAAATGTATCAGTATGTTTAAGATAGGTCCCTTGTAACCAAAATGCTGACGGTTTATAATCCTGAACTTACAACTGTATTGTATTCACATTCTTTCTATGTCCTCTGCAATTCCATTGAACTATATAAGACGAATGGCTCATGGTGGTGCAATGGGGATCTCTCACGCGAACGTAATAAAGAACTCCTCACAGATCTCTTTGATGATGGAGTAACTTCAACGTCGAGAGCTGTATAGGGGTTCTGGACAGGCACCTGAATTGTTGAAGGTGATGTAGCCATTTGACTCTTAGTGAGATCAAGCTCCGTGGCATTTGCTGTCGACACGAGTCGAACAGATTTGACCCATGTCAGCTCAGTCTGACATCATACAGGTAAAGTCTGAGTTGGACTTGAGACAGCAGCAGGATAATTTAGTGATGAATTTTCTCGTTCTTTGGTTTAAAGGTCACGTGCAACCAAAAAAACCAAACAATTAAAACACAGGTATCACTTATTCATGACATATAATATACATTGCTGATTATGAAAACAACAACAAATAAACAAAATTATAAGCGTACAATCGCAAATCAAAAGTGCAATATTTTGTACTTGGGTTTACTTCCCTCGAAGCGAAGCACCCGTGATACCGAACCCAGTCAGAGCGGGTGGGCGTGCACTTAAGTGTAACAAAGCCTTTCATTGGCTGGTTCATTTGCCGATACAGTCTTTGTGCCGATATGCTCATTGTTTGTGTATAAAAGTTTGCAATTAACAGACACCATAAAATGTCATGTGTACAAGTATCACACCAGCCCGTTTGTGTAATTACATAATGTGACAGAGACAGATCTCGGGTGCACGAGCCATAAATTAATGGGTTTTGTTTATGGTTTATAGCCTGGTAGGTGTTAAGTTCAAATAACATGTGGTCAGTGATCGAAGTTATGTATTGCATATTGGCATTAGCAGACAGGCAGGCAGACACATAGGTGTCGACAAAACAAACATTGAGTTTTGTCTGTGACAGAGGCATATCTATATCACATTTAAAGATATTCTGACAATGCTAAATAATGACGTTGATGTTTAGAAAGTGACTCGGTAAGAACGTGTGGTGAAATAGTCAAATGAAATTATGTAAACAGTTAAACCGGTAATCTCCTGTCATAACATATAAAAATCTCGTGACTGTATCATATCAACAACACATTGTAAAAATAGCTCACATCAAAGCCTTCTCCGAGTACTCACCGCCAGCGAAGGTTTTCCATCTTGAAATGTCGAACGCCTCACTGGTTGACACATAGCTGAGTAGATCTTGATCCTTAACAAGGTTCTTTTATGTAACGAGTAGATTATTTACTATTTGTTGTTTGTGTACACAACCAATATTAGACTACTCCTCCTCACGATCCGGACATCCCGCTTCCAAGCTGCGTGAACCTATTCACTGCGCCTCTGCCATGAGTGCTGTGCAGCGCTGTGGTTGGACTCGCTTTTCACCCCAGCTGTGTTGAATTTAGTGAATCGTTTGAACTCCGATTTCGCAGGGGGTTTGTTAATCGCGTTGTTTTTCAACTTTATAAGTTGAATTTGCATTTTTTGATCATTTGTTACTGTAAGTCCATACCGAAAGGTATCAGAATCTGAAAAGTTGTGTTTCACGCTGCATGTGACCTTTAAGAATATTAGATTCTGGTTGCCAAACAATACAGAGTTATGAGGATGCCATATGTTGGCCATCCCAATTTACACATTTCAATATTTGTTCACAATCAAGATTCTCATGGCTGTCACCACAGTACTGGCATGGCCAAACTTCTGACATCTAAAACATCGGAGTTAATTGGGACATACCCTTCCACCCCGATGTTGACATAATCAGCTTTGATCGATTATTATAGATTGTGGAAAAGTGAACAAGTATGTGTAAGTTTTTTAATGACTAAATCGTCCTCGTGGTTTGGTAGTCTGTCAGTTTTACCTAAAGTCATGGCGATGCATACTATAGAAATGATCCCTAAAAGTATGATCTTAAAATTTTAATGAAACGTTTCACCGAAGTCACACCTTGATCTTTTAATTCTTCTGTTATTTCTTTTTCTGACATGTCGAATCAAAATTGGTAGCAATTTATTCAAGTGAACTTTCCTCAAACGGTCGACTCTTTGGACCAGCATGATTATGAACCTTGGTTAAAGTAACTTGCTCTGCAACCCTGCTCCCCTCCCACCATGGAGCGTCAACAAGGACAGTGTTTACTTACATCGGGTATCCAAGACGCATACACCAGGGATACATGGTTGACATACTCCAGCAAATGACATGAATAGCTATATTTGTTTACTAAATGCAATGTCAGGCTTGTTCTGCCTACAACAATAACTTTGATACCAACAGAACTCAGCGGTCAATATCACCAGATTAGCCCATGAGTCTCTGCCTTCTGGCATAGGACGCTAGGCAAATATACTCAGCAGAAAAAACCAACGAAACGCCTGTACGAATTCAAAATGAGATAGGCACTGTAATCAAATCATTACAGAAATGGTCATAATAAGCGGATCAAAAACATTTTTCGTGTACAATATCTTGACACATCAATAAAAAACGCAGCACAATTTCAAGACATTACATAAACGTTTGCAGTCCATCCAGACTCTTGACTTCAGTATCTAGTGTGACCACCACGAGCTGCAATAACTGCAGCACAGTGTCTATGCATGGAGTGCACCAATCGATTGATACAGGCCATTGGCACCTGGAACCACTCTCTGAGAAAGGCGCAATAAATCGGCAGTGTTCGACCTTGGTATTACATTATTCAGTCTCCTCTGAATTTCATCCCAAAGATGTTTAATTGGGTGTAAATCAGGACTTAGGGCTGGCCACTGCATAATGTTGACACCGTTCCGCTGTAGGAAGTCCCGTGTAGCTCTGGCAGTATGGGCACGGCGTTATCATGCTGGAAAACGTTGTTCCGGTGACGTGCGAAATGTGGTATGACGTGGGGTCTGAATGCTTGGTCAATGTAGCGCACCGCTGTGATTCCGCCTCCTCTCCCTGGAAGAAGGTTCCGGAACACCACAGGACAAACTCTCTGGTTCAGTCCTATTCCACCCCATACCATGATGCTTGCACCTCCCCATGAGTCTCCTTCCATAACACATTGGTCTGCCATCTGCAGTTGATACGCACTACCGACTCTCATCTGTGAACAGAGCAGTTCTCCATTGCCTGCATTGCCAGTTTTGGTGTTGCTGGGCAAACTGTAGATGTTCACTCTAATGACGAGGGGTGAGGATAGGTGCACGGTAAGGTGTACGGCAATTGAGGTTCCCGCTGTTAAGACGTCGGTGTACTGTATCAATACTGATTGGTCTTCCGTGTGGTCCCACTGTCTGGCGTGCTGTTTCGGATGCCTGCATGAAGGGATTCTGTACATGATGTCGCTCCCTTGGTCTGCCAGTTGGTGGCCCGGAAACGTTGCTGCAGCCTAAAGATGGTCCGAACGTTGTCCTGGAAAATGATTGGCAACGGCTTGAACAGTGTGGCCAGCTTCAAGTCTTCCTAGCGCCTGGTTCCTCTGAGCTGTCGTGAGTCGCGGCATCCTGCTGAGGTTGTAATGTGAATGTTTCAACCAGGTTTGGGGGTGCATTTTATAGGGCTGGTCCTTGTGAACAGCACGTGCAGCATGCAACTCCGAGATCAGGTTGCGTTTTTGAGACCATTTCCTGGGTTCAATTCTGAGTTTGGGAAAGAATGTCTTTGCTCAGGTAAAGTTGTAGATATTGTCAAAAGTATACAATCAAAACATGAAATGAGTTTACAGTTATCCATTTCTGCGAAGGAAAATCCCAAACTGACGTTTCTTTTGCTGCTGAGTATAGACAGGATATAATGTTGAATTACAGCATTCATTATCAGCAATTCCAGAAATGCACATTAATTTCAATATGAATGTGTCCAACCATAGGGCGTGGTATAACCAGCCAATTGATAGAACCGGGCCCATTCTACCATCCTTGGTGAAGTAAGGGTTGAAGGGGCGTGTTGGACAAAAGGAACACGGTTCACGGCTCGTTTGCCCTCAACCAGCAGAATCCCTTCCTCCACAGATACAGGGGCGCAACCAACGGCAAACAGGTTGCCCAAGTCGGTCGCCTCTAACGACTAACAGTCGGGATCTGTGGACACATTCTGCCTATGGTCCACACGGGGGGAGGGCTATTTTCGTTACCCAGCACTAACCACGAGGCGTTTGCTCTTCACGAGTGCCAGATCGACCACGATGAGACATCATAACTGCATGAGTCTTTACAGATGACATTGAGGTATCTGTTCGTAGCTGGGTTGTTGTTTACCGCCACACTCAGTAATATACCATCTATACTGTAAATAATCGAATCTGGAACAGACAATCCAGTGATCAACATCAATAACGATCAACATCGATCTACACTATTGGGATACGATGTCAGTGAGCCTGACCACCCGATCCCGTCAGTCTCCTTTGGCGACAAGCATGGGTTGCTGAAGACAAATTATAACCAGGATTTTCACGGGTCCATGTTGAGACATGGATTTTGAAACTGATCTTATGGATTTGAAGATCAGAAGACGGAGAGATATGCAAGCTGCACAGTTGCAGATTCAGACGAACAACTACAGTTTGAAGGTTTGTATCAGGTAATGCAGGGCTATGCATGATATCCTGTCGCACCGAAATAGAAAGGCCTTCAGTTGCTTTATCTCCTGGATATGTCTCTTGGATACCTATGCTGACAGTTGAAGGTCTCACTGAAATAATTGTCAGTCCTCTGCAATTCCACTGCATTATAGTGGACAGTATATTGGCCCTCGTTCACGTGCATGTGTTTGTTTTAGACGTATTTTACTCACTGAGAAAAGGATTAGGAACAAGTTCTCCAACTTAGGATACCCTTGGTATGTACATACTCCTTGGTATGTACATAGGTAATTTAGGTTTGTCCTGTGTGGAAAAAGTAACCTCCATATTTAGAGGTCCCAAAGAAATTTCAAGAGGTATCTCTGATGGGA